ACATTTGGGTATTCATCCTCTTTTATTAATCTAAGTGAGACCTAAATCTAACACACTGAGCTTATTAAAACCTACAAAAAAAATTATATAACTTAGTGACATAACACTGTAATTAATTTTAGGTGATAAGTTCCACCCAAAATAGGAACTTGACATTAGAATTGAAAACAAAATAAGAGAAACAAAGAAAGTGCACTTTAAAAAAAAAATGGCCTCCAAAATTATATTGCATTTTCAGTTTATATTCATATAAATCGTAAGCTTTCATTGCTCCTATAAACCGAAATACTATATAGAGGTATTAAGGACTTTGTTGAAATCTTTTTCAACCCTCATATTATAGCTAGTTTGTAGGCGGACCATTTGTACTTTGGCGATTGGTATATGATCATCATTATTGATCTTAACCATTAATAGTCCTAAGCTGGTTGGGTAAGTAAACATATTGCATCACACAGCAATATAAGATATGTTTCCAGCAAATAATCCGAGGAACTGTAAGTAGCTTACTGGAAATATGGTGAAATGGTATCGTGACTTTAACAAGCTAGTGCGGACTTTGAGAACACCATTATCTATTTAATGCTTCTTACTTTGTAAACATCATAGTTTCGAAACTGCTTTGAACACCACACATTCTAGTTTCAATAAGCCTTCCAATCTGATTTATGAATGAGTTTCAATAATGAACTATCTTTTTAAGTTGATAATAGACAAAGTGCATCATGGTTATTTTCTTGCATTTGATAGAAACCTAAGCCCCAGCACTTAATGAAATTAAAAACTATTCAGATGGTTGACGGATAAGTAAATATTATTCACTGCTGATAAATTACCTTTTTACGATTTTTATTTATTTTTCTCTGTCATAACCTGTCACGAATTTCCTCGAAAATTAGTTATGACTCTCTTAACCCACAATCAGGATCTATATGAGTTGCCTTCATATAGAAGTGAAAGAAATTACAATGAGGTTTGTCATCATATATATAGCCCTCCAGTCTATAAGACTACCAAACTCGATCTTTTACAGATCTCCCTTTTCTTAGGCGTAATCAATGGGGACAACAAGCAATTACCAAGGGAAAGAGAGAGAGACGCACAGTTTTACAAAAAATGTCGCTGAGGCCGTCAGAGTTCAAAGTACCCATGTAGATCATTGAATTTACTTCTGTTCAGCTACAGAGAGCCATAAATGCCGCCGTAGTCGGGTCGTGCTGGCTTCGGTGCTGGAAGTGTCCAGCCTCTTCGTAGCTGTGACACTACGAAGGCAAGAGCGACCCCAAGAAGGCGATTTGAGGTCAGCCATAGACCGGGACGGTGACAGAGCAAAGAGAAGTGAAAGAAACATTGCCGTGAGGATTCGGTCTTCTGTTTTCACCACTACGAGCTTTGTACCTCTCGTCGCGGCAATGCAGATACAGACGAAACAATTAAAGCCACTTGCGATTGGACGATCTACTGATGGTACGGTGTGTATTTAGACTAGGAGTTTGATTTCGTAACAAGGTTCAGTGGTCAAGAAATTGAAGACTGTAATTGCGTAATCTAGTAATCTTTGGCATGGAATAAGGTTGACCTGCGAAAATAGAGAGGACGAATACATTTTCCATTAATACTAAACAAGACTTAATGTGTCTTAACCAATTTCACTATACAAAAGGAGCTCTAACTGTTCACCTGATACAATCGTTGCGATAAATAACCGGAATACAGTATTGGGAACCGTACACTTGAGGATCCTTGATATTTTTTTATTGAAATTTGTTTTCATGAAATTCATACAGGGCCGAAATATGGGTTTTAGACTTACTGCATCTCATGGATAAGTGTACATACTATTAGAGTGCATAGCAGTCATTAATTTGGCGAATAGTCTCATTCATGGTCTGCACATAATTTTGGTGATGTGCCCGTTTTTCTGTCATTGATGCGTAGCTTATCTCGAACAAGAAACGAAGAAATTTAAGGCCATCAGTGTAAAACAGCCCAAGAAGAGAACAATGTTTTTTCCTTCTTCTTCTTCTACATTTCTAAAAATATTAAGCCCTAACAAAGAAAATCGTTCGATTGCTCAGGATTAACGATGTAGAAGGAATTATTGCTTTTACTTAGGTATTTGTAGCTGATAGACTGACAGACCTTTGGGTGGAGGACGACAGAGAAAGAATGGGAGATGAAAGGAAGGCAGAATGGTAAGGAACTGAGAAAAATTAGAACAAAAGTTCATCCAAGATACTCATGGGAAGGACGGAAAATCTGGTAATAGTGAGGCGCAAGGATTTGAAGGATCCATCCGAAGAAGCATGCTCCCTCCGTGTGATTATGAAAGTGCCAATGGTCAGATAGGGCCCTTGGAAGCTGTCTTAATTCTCGTTAACATCCGAGCTGCATCGCCTGACGTAGACAATAATGACAGATTTGAGCGCAAAATTACCAGCATGGCCCCTCCTTTTGCTCTTGTATCACTCTTGAATGCTAAATAAAACTTGCTGCACCTCTGATATATAGCGTCCACAAATGATTGAAGGGCATTTTCACAATTTATTTATTAAAACTCTGAGTGATGGTAATTGTGAACCACGTATTGTTAGTAAGGAATGAATTAATCAATGGATGACGGATCTTCCTAGACTTGATGTGATAGTAAAATAGCGAAAGTAGGGACAAACAGACAAGTGAGATAAACGTGGGGGAGAGACAGAAGAAGAGAAGACATAATACCTGGTAGATAATCCGAATATAGCCTTTTAAAATCACTACGCATGACTATTGTTTCTGTGAATGTCAACAAGTATTTCTTGAGGGGAATAGTGAAATACTAATAGGAATATTTCTCTAGGACTAGACGTAGCTAGACTAAGGTGAACTAATATAAAAACCTTTGGTATTATTTGTATGAAAGAGCTATGAGCACGAGCATGTTGATAGCAATACCCACATAAACAATAGACAAAAATGAAAATAAGTCAAGAAATATAGAAACCTAATTCATTCCCCTCTTAGAATTTCACCTAGCCCTATAATTCTAATAAAATTTTTGACAAGAAGAGGTTATTGAAATATATATATATATATATATATAGATCAAAGAATTGACAGCTTGTGCTGAGAACATGATGACCTAGGACAAACTTATGACTGCATAAAAACCAAAATGCTCTTACATTAGCCAAAATCGTTTTTCATCCTAAATATAGGAAAATAAAAATTATAAATATAAATTCAAAATTTTAAAATTTTAAAATAAAGTGATATAAATATAAAAAGTTTGTATTACGATAAGAAAGCACACCTTTATCTAATGTTTACTTTAAAATATGATATTATCAATTGGGTGTACTCCAACATGTTGAGCCGCTCAATCCAGAAACTCGTCAAAAGCTTTAATTGGGTCCCCAGGGCACTGAACAGGGTTGTCTAGAATCTCTTGATGAAGCAAACATCTCGATCACTAATGATGTTCGGCGACAGACCCCACATCTTTATCACAATAGCCAAGAAGAGTGGCACACCTCTTCTGCCAAGTGGTCCATCTTTGTCAACATGAACACTATATTTGCCAAAACGATAAATCATCACAAAGATGACATCATTCCCATGTACTTTCAAGAACTCGGTGACGAAAACGGCAAAGATGGATTTTGATGAACGACTTTTAATGGGTAGAGGCTTGAGTTTGTTTGTTGTCTTGACATGGTCGGTCTTGTCCTATGGGCATCCAAACACAACAGCACATAAGTCTGGACGTCTAGCTCTATACCTTGCTAGTAGTAGCTATTAACAATCAACGTCAAGGGGGCCTCAAGTCGGCAGGATTTGAGCAAAGTGTGTGTGACAAGTCGGCAGCATTTCAAATGCACAAATGATGGAAATGATGGGACTCTGATGTGGCTCTTATAGAGATCTGCACACCTATCATTGCTCAAAAAGTCAGCAGCATGGAGGAGAGGGTACAACAGGGGGAGCGAGAATTGGTCAGCTCTGCAGGATTCTTCTAGTGATTCTCCTGCTTACTGAAAAGCTCCTGATTGTGATGTATACTTCGCCCCTCTTACATCCAGTGTTCTGGCAACTAAGCCACTTTCTCCAGTTTTCACCCACTAGTGGCGGGAGCAGCAACTCTCTTACAATATACACGTCTGCTGCCTTCATCTCTGTCTCTCTCGCACTCTCTCTCTCTCTCTCTCCCTCGCTCTCTCTATCTATCTATCTATTTATTTATCTCTCTCTCTCTCTCTCTCTCTCTCTCTCTCTCTCTCTCTCTCTCTCTCGCTCTATCTATCTATCTATCTCTCTCTCGCACTCTCTCTCTATCTATCTATCTATCTATCTATTTATCTCTCTCTCTCTCTCTATCTATCTATCTATCCATCTATCTCTCTCTCGCGCTCTCTCTCTCTCTCCATCAATCTATCAATCAATCTATCTATCTATCTATCTATCTATCTAGCTAGCTCTCTCTCTATCCATCTCTCTCTCTCTCTCTCTCTCTCTCTCTCTCTCTCTCTCTCTCTCTTCATCTCAGAATGAAGTGGCCCGCAGCAAAAGGCTGCATCATTTGGGGGTGGTCTCATGCCATTGCTTCGGCCGCTGTCGCGGGTGCAGGTTACCTCTGCACAGTCCCATGAGCAATACAGGGAAGAATTCGAACAGAGCCTCGGCATCGCTGTCGCTACAGTAGCCCCCGCCCTTGTAGACTGGGTCAAAGAAGACTGACTTTAAAGCCTTTTCCTCTTCCTCAGTCTCAAAGCACCTCAAACGTCTACGGAGAACCCCTCCATGGAGGCCATCTAGCTTTCTGTACATGGAATGGGCGGCGGCACAGTCATCCATCGCATGGGCAATGATGATATCTACGTTTACAAGCAGAGGGAAACAACCATGCGCGGGGCGGGCGGAGGGAGTCGCCCAGGCGGGAAGCCGACGGCGGACTCTTCTTCTCGTGACTGTACAAAAAACATGCACCGCCGTCTGCCTTCCCCAGCTCCCCGTCGTCCTCACCTCTTCCGACGCTTCGACTCCACCTGCAGTCCCACGTCAACACATAAGGCTCTCTCTCTCTCTCTCTCTCTCTCTCTCTCTCTCTCTCTCTCACTACTTCCGCTCGCAGTGAATGCTCATCGGAGGTTGGCAACCTTACCTTGGGCTCAGATAGCGGCGACACGGGAAAGGTGTCCATCGTTCTCTTGGCGTCGTCCTCCGCACCGCAGTCAGAGCACAGGAAGTGTTCCAGCTTCTTGGCCTGCTCTATGGACATGTCCATGCACCCGGGGTGAAACCTGCGTCCACAAAGCAATAAACTTCCAGTTAAACCATATAATATGACGTCATCCGCAAGAGTCAAGAGGGGCCATTGAAGATCCCTCCATCTCAGCAAACTTGCCGAAAATAGAACACACACCAAGTTCCAAGAGTAGCAGCAGCAGCAGAAGAAGAAGAAGAAGAAGATGAACATAAACCAGGGGCTGGGGAAGAAATCTAAAATCAATATGAAAAGCTCCAGGAGATGTTACCCTCTTCAGGATTCTTTTCCAATTTCAGATTCCAACAAAAAGTGGCAAAGTAGATCCAAATGATCGTCAAAAATAGTACGTGTAAATAATGTATCCATTCTCAAAGAAAAACAAAATCAGAAAAGAACCCTAAGATCAACACAAATAAATACTAGTCACTAAAAATACCAAAATAGATATTAAATAAAAATTTAAGAACAGCTAATCTCCTGCAAGTAATTTATCATGTGTAAAGAACATTTAATGCGGGTTAAATAAAAAACTCAGTAGATTTTATTCAATACGCCAGACTTGGCCACATGGGAATCTACCAACTATTTCTCCCCAGTTTCCATCCCCTCTGCCACATCGGCTTCATCCCCAGTGATCCTGACTTTCACGGTTTTTCACTCCTTTGACTTTGCTGCCCTCCTTCCCCTCACAGTCAACACAGGCTGGTCAACGCATTGTCAACGTTTCAGAAGGCCAATAACCATTGCTCAACCATTGATCAGACCATCTCATTTTCAAAGGACCTTGGAGAACACTCATCTGGATTTTCAAAGGGTTTAAAAAGAGAGGGGCACCCAAGACAAAGAGGACGGAAATGGTAACAACAGTCAACGCGTCAGCACATCGCAGAGGGCACCAGCACACTAACAATGAGAACTTCTCACGGTAGAACAGGGTTGGCTGGAGAATTATACCAATAGATATTGACTAAAAGAGGGACAGGAAGAAGATATACGAGTATATGAATCAATAATTCCCCAGAACGAGCCCTCCTGGGTAGAATATGGTTGAAAGCATGAAGGTCGTAGAGAAGATCTCCAAAGTTTCAGGAGAGAGAGAGACCCTGAAAGAGGTCAAATGCTGAGCAATATCAACCACAGAAATGATAACATTCCGCTGGAGCTGTGCAAGAAAACAGTCATATGATGTATATGATAATTAAAGCCAACTCTTTGAGCGAAGTAACACAGGGATGCACACACAACATAAAAAGATGGGAAAGAACGTGGGATCAAGCAACTCACTGACACCAACGTATGAGGCCAAAGTCAAAACTGTGATCACATAGAGGGCCGATATAGCTAGAATGCGAAGGTCAATGCAAGAGTAAACAGAGTATCAGGGACTTAAAATTAAAGCAAGATAAAAAGGCTCATGAGAAGAAAGGATCCACCAGAATCGAGCATTAAATAATTTTAGAAGAAACGAGGTGATCAAATCAGCATCCGTAATGACTGTTGAAAATTCGGCGTCACTAAAGATAATCAATTCCTGGTAATGTGTTTACATACATTTTAGCGGTCAGAATTGAAGATGAAGCATCATCCATTAAGAAACCCATTCCAAGAAATGCCTGGAGGGAATTGTATAGTATGTATCAAAAATTTGGAGATTATTTCAGCTAAAGTTCCTCTGCATGACCATAGCAAACTTATGAACGTGTATTTAGTTCTTAGTGATCTACATCTTTCTGATTGATAAATACACAATGCGTAGGCTGATATAATCCTCCTGTAATATGCTAAACATACGCCTGATGTATTTCCATGTGGAAGAGATAATTGTTAATCATGAACACATTTCTTTTCTTCATTTTTTCTTTTACCGAAAAATTAACAGTGCTGACAACCACGCCACCAATTCAGATGACCTTCCTTCCGCAGAAAAGTTTATACAGGAAGACGCAGTAGGATAATGAAGGAAAAACATTAGATACATGAGAATCGCCTCCATAAGATCATTCTAAACGCCACTATTATTTCATGACTAGACAGGAACACAATTATTTACGACAAAAGAAGAAGGTCCAGTACCCCTGGTATGGTAGCAGAGATAGACAGAAATCAAAACTAGATCCTGAACAAGTGTTCATAATTCTCGAAGCATAAGGCCTCTGAAACACCCATGATTCTTCTGTATCTTGATTTTTTTCCCACTCAATGTTTGAATTACGTAGTGGCGACCAAGGAGGATTCATGAAAAACATCAGCTGAGTTCCAAGGACATCCTCGTCAACAGCCACCACAGATATTACCAAGCACGAGAAGATAAATGAGCTATGGGTCTGAGTGATATAAAAGAGGAAGATCGGCTCAAAAACAGATGCACCATTGAGGAGAGGACTCAGAAGAAAAATATGAGCATTGAATGAGGAGAATAGCAATAAGTCTCAGAAGAGAAGCGCTCAGACAGCACACGGCAGATCTTGAATAGCTTTAAACTTTCCATGTAAGAAATGAACCTACAAATAATCACACCGTGAAACATGGAACTAAAGAAGACGGTTGATTATACAACGCAAATAAGCTCACCAATCCCTGCATCCTTCACACTGAACCATGAGGTCGTCTGGGTTGTAGGGCATTTCGCATTTACAGTACCTTCAGACCAACGAAAATGAACACCCGATTAAACAATGGAGAGATGAAGCTCACTGCGGGAAGTAAGGGAGAAGGATGGACAGAGAAAGAAGGAAGCTCGTAATTATCGTACACAACCACACGATCAGGGATGAAGCTCCCAGTGCTGGCCTTGTACTCGAAGCGGCAGAAGAAGTCCTCGACACCAACGTTCTCCAGCTTGGTGTAGTTCTTGAAGGAGTGAACAGTGCACTTCCCCTCGATGGTGTGGGCGCTCTGTATGTCGTAGTGGTCGGAAAGGAAGAGCTCTTTGGCCCCATGAAACTGGCGGCGGCCGCCAATCGACTCCTCGGGGCGATAGTACCACCGGACCCGGACCTTCACGTTGTTGCGATTGTCTGCCCCGATTTTCTCCACGCGCGCCACATACGGCGGCTTATCAGAGTCCGAAGGGCGCATGAGAACGCAGTCCCCCACTACAGCAAAGACGAGTAACCCCGGAGGAAGGAGAAAACAAAAACAACCGTCAGTGTTCGGCGCTGCAGCGAAATCTAGCTGGAGGGTATCGGAGCTAGATGAAGGGGAGTGGAAATGATTGAGTACCTTTGACGACCTTGTTTGTTCCCTTTATCGTGTAGGATTCGAGGTCCTTCTTTCCAGGCTTCGTCTTTGCCATCGGAGCTCTGCTCTTTCCGCTCGCGCAGGAGAAGGAACAAGCTGCGAGCAGTATCTGGCAATGCAATGGCGGTGGAAATGTGCGCTGGACCCGCCGGGACACTACCACAGCCACAAACCACGCTGACGCCGGCACCTACAAGCGCCGCCCGATCTGATCGGCGATGGTTAAAGAGGGGAAGAGCCGAGACCGCCGGTCAACGACACGCAACGACACGCCATACCGGCCCAGATCCCGCAGCGTCCGCGCCCGCGCGAGGGGGTGCTGCGAAAACCCTAGCGACCCAGAATCGACGAAAGAGGAGAGCAGGGTACTGTGGAGGAGCTGGGACGGCGAACGCCTTGCGGTCCCTTCGCCGGGGAGGAGAGGGACGCACGGAACCCTACCCGGTCCCGGATGTCACCAAGAGGAATCCGGTCACCTCAGTCTTCTTCCTCCGCCATTGCCGTGTGTGTGTGTATAGAGAGACAGAGACAGAGACAGAGGAGAGAGAGAGGAGCTCCCTCAAAGCTTCCGTGCGAGATTTAAAAGGTCTCCGTCGTATACTCAAAGAACACCGTCATCATCGTCGTCATCGCCGAACTGTTTAAGAACAAAGCACTAAATTAACATTCAAAAAACTTCTGAAGGGGCTAACGGTAAAAAATTATTTAAGAACATATCCCCCAAAGTTTCACGAGTTTATTCTCTCAAATATCACAACCAAGATTTCTGCTTTGACATCGCAAGAAATGGAAAATTTCTAACATTTTAAACCCATAACCACTTAAGTTATTACCAATTTTTATATATTTTGTGTTCATCTATGAATCTCTCACTTGTGGATTCAATGAAAACATCGTTAGATCTTTGTCGATCAAAGTCATCCCCCACAAAACCCTTGAAAATTCAAGGATTGAAGTTTCAAGTTTTATCAATTTGAAAATTTTTCATCAAAGTTTGCACATTGTGGATTCAAGGTTGTTAGAAACAATTCATCTCAATGAAGTTCTAGTCTCATATGAAATGTAGCAAAGCTTCATAGAAAGTGTACTCTCATGATTTATAAGTTTTAATTGTCTGATGATGATTCAAAGTATTTATAGTCATTTTCATCAAAGTTTGCACATTATTGATTTAAGGTTGTCACAAACAAATCATCTCATGAACTTCTAGTCTCAAAATCATCTATAATAAAACTTCATACAAAATGTACTCTCATGCTTTATAAGGTTTAATAGTTTGTTGATGATTTAAAGTATTTAATAAATATTTTCATCAAAGTTTGCATATTGTGGATTCAAGGTTTTTAGAAACAACTCATTTAACTGAAGTTCTAACCTTATACTCGACAATAAAGAGAATTCATAGAAAATGTACTGTCATGATTTATAAGGTTTAATAGCTTGATGATGATCCAAAGGATTTATATACATTTTCATCAAAGTTCGTGCATTATGGATTCAAGGTTGTCATAACAACTTATCTCATGAACTTCTAGTCTCATGATCAGCCATAAAAAAACTTCATAGAAAGTGTACTCTCATAATTTATAAGTTTTTATTGTTTGATGATAATCCAAAGTATTTAGACATTTTCATCAATGTTCTCACATTGTGGATTCAAGATTGTTAGAAACAACTCATTGAAATGAAGTTCTAGTCTCATAATCAAATGTAACAAAGCTTCATAAAAAGTGTAATCTCATGATTTATAACTTTTAATTATTTGATGATGTCCAAAGCATTTAAACATTTTTATCAAAGTTCATGCATTGTAGATTCAAGGTTGTCAAAACAACACATCTAAGTGAAGTTCTACTCTCATAATCAATTATAACAAGGCTTCATAGAAAGAGTACTCTCTTGATTTATAAGGTTTAATAGTTTGATGACAATTCAAAATATCTATTTAGACATCCTCTTCTATGTGGCCTACTTGGGCCTATTATCTTTCTCTCATCTCTCACCAATATAAACACATGTATCTCTTCATTTGGGGTTAATCTAATCTTAGGGTTTAACCTTTCTCGTTAACATGGTATCAGAATCCTAAGGTTTTTTCCAACTATCGTCACCATCATTGTGCCACTGTCACTGCACCTATCGTCGCCATTGTGTTATTGTTGTTGCATCCTCTACGTGCTCTCCTCTCTCTCTCTCACTCTCTCTGTGCCATCCTCTGCCGTGCGCTGCCATCTGCTGCACACCGCCATCAATTGTGCCATCAAAATTTGCCACTGCATCACGTGCAGCCAGTGCACCAGTGCCTACCCTACCACTACAGCCCCTTGCCGTCGTAGCCCCTACCATTACACCCCCTTGCTGCCACAGCCCTCTTGCCATCGCAGCCCCAAATTGTCGCAGCCCCCCCTTGTCATCACGGCCCCCTTGCCATTGTAGCCCCTCCTATCGCAAGATCTGCTGCCATGGCCCCTCCTACTCTCACGGTATCTATTGCCACAGCATCTCATAGTATCTCTCAGTATCTTGTGATATCTCGCAGTATTGTCTCTTATTGTGCCACCTCCTACCTCACTATCTTTTTTCCGCACGCCATCTCTTGTTGCATACGCCCTTGCTGCACATTTTTGTGTTTGTATTAGTATATTATTTCCCGTCATCATTATGGACAAAGATAGTATATCTTTTTCACTTTAGGGACCTCGGCCCACAACCTTGCTTCTAGTCAAAGTGCATATGTCATCATCACTCTTTCTCTCACAACACTTCATCTTAGTACAACTAACTCAGCTAGCATACTTCTTCACCGATCTCAACAATCAATCGTGAGTATTAGATTTCAAGCACTTCTTTACATCTCACAGTCTGCTTCATCATCTAATAGATAATTCACTGGTCATCATTAACTCGACCTATACTTCTTGGTCCCAAATAAACTCTATTATAGTCACCTAAATGTTTTAAAGTATTGAGTAGCCTATTGTCAAGTGATGTGACTTAATTGTTGTATAATAAATCACATAAATTTAAAATTTATAAAATTAGAAAATACTAATTTTCAAATATTTACAAGTATTTATGAACAAATATATCAATTATAATTCAATAAGACTTCTAAAAATAATGAAAATTTTTTAGATCGATCATCATAGGGATATAATATAATATCAGATAATATTTCAAAAAAAATCTCAAAGAATATGATGTTTTATGAATTTTATACTAATAAATAGAAATAAAATATATTTAAAATTTATGAAAAAGAGAAATAAGAGTGCAGACATTAGGATGACATCAGCATCCGACAAACACAAATCGGACAAAAACAGAGTTATGCTCGGTGATTCCTATGTAAGTAATTATAGATGATTTAATTGATCAAATTAAGATCTGAAAAAGCTGAATGAATCATAATTGAATGAAAAATAACTTGGTAAATTTAAATCACACAAGTTATCACTAAATGAAATGAAAATTAAATTGAAAGTAGGAAAATAGAGTTCTGGCATCGCGGTGATGATGCGTCAGCAATACACCAAAATCTTGAACGTTCAAGAGAATTGTTGTGCAATGTCAATGACCTCAAAGGCTCTCCTTGGACAAAGATGACGTGGACAATCTCTAGATCTTTTTATGAAGTCTAGAGATTAATAAAATGAGTCATCAAATCGTCTCCGACGGCTATCATCTGGTGAAGCGGAAAAATGACGACTTTGCAGCTCTCTAGTGGCTCACCCAATGGACAAGAGTTGGAAGGAGGTGGGGTACATATCAAGGAGTTTCATCCTCAAGTCTGCATAGCAAGACGAGGCTCTTCATCGCATCTGGTACGCTCTCAAGAGATGACAACTCATCTTCTGATGGATCATCCTCTTCACGACGACGGCTTGTTCGTCAATCAATCAAAGATAATTTACTCGATGGATTCACGATTCTTTTATCGTGAATCATTCAGCAATTTTAGTAAGAATGCTTTGCGAATCGTGTTGATGAGATTTTTGTCGATCATCTAATGATTCTAGCAACTTAATCCTTCGCGAGCGATCTATAGGAAAGTCGTGATTTAATCAGATAAAAATATATATCGAGTTTGGCTCTAGGATAATTTGAACCCACACATGTCACCCACCTACATGAGAGAGATTGAAATAAGTACTCTAATGCCCTTATATAATAATGTCATCGAGGTATATCTCTATTATAACTAAGGGATATTTAAGGTATTAAAATTTTCTAAATTATTCTAGAGGAAGGTGTGACATGGGTTTAATCCCACATCGTATGTATGCCGAAGTTTTGGACAAATATATAGTAATATCGCATTTTTAAGCAACAAGTCCCTTTCTCTTGCATGTATGACCACTCCTTGCCCCATAGCCTATTGGCCACTAGTGACGAGGAAGGGGAATGGTGCACGCGTGCCCCCATCAGTCCATAACTACTTGAGCCCCTACTCACGGCTTCTCCCGACTACACTTCTAACTCGCTTGCGGGCTCGGTTGGCCGGTGGGTTTCCCCTTTTTCTATTTTTTATTTTATTTTATTTTTCTTTATTTATCTCAAAAATAGGATTATAAAAATCAAATAAATTCTTATAAAATCACATAATTAGCTAAAAATCATATTAATCAACTAAAAATCACTTTTCACAATTTAACATAAATAAAAGTCTATTTATCATGAGTTAAGACTAAAATTATATTATTTATTAATTATTAACTCATGATAATGAAGACTTATCATCGAGCCCTTTACTTGTATCAAGCCCACCAAATAACTTTGGCTCATGGTAGAGATCATGTATGCCAACAAGATAAATATTAGTTGTATTGTGCAGTAATTTAAATCTCTTCTTACTTGTAAGTAATGTGATCTCTTACTTCAAACACACTTTGAACAACTTCAAGCAATCATCTAGTAGTTGTCTCTTTACCAGCCTATGACCATGAGTTTTGGATCCTTGAGTAGTATCACCAAGAGTTCTATGTTGGTAAAAATTTCAGTTGTCTACATCCAAATATTGTCTCACATATTTGTGGCCAGATTCTCTTGGGTGAT